CTTATGCCAATACGGTCGCAATGAGGCTTTTAGGTACCGAAATGGAATTGCATGAACATTCACGTGGTGGTTATGTAATACAGAATCGACAAATTTACATAATCGACGTCATCGATTATTTCAACTAATCGGTGCAGCCCTATTTACAACTGCCGTTAAGAAGTCAAGACGCACACAAGTATGCAACCATGTCCACAGTGTGGGAACACTTTTCAATGGAAAACAATGATGCCGAAACTGCATCTTGCAAAATCTGCAAACTGGATGTTTCTCATGGTGGGAACAGYAGGGCTCGCTTTAATACTACCAACCTTGTCACTTGAAAAGAAATAAAGCAATCGGATCGGTATCGGAAAGACTAATCATTAAAAAAATTAGATTGTATCGGGAGCCAAAAAATCTGGATTGGGACATCCCTAGTTTTTAGTATCGTTTAGAAAGAAAGGGGTACAGGAAGATGCAGAATGCTCCAAATGGATGCAAAACAACTAAAAATCAATTAAAGTGCTTTGAGTACTTCCACTAAAAAGGGCCTTTTGATACTGCTAAGCAATGATGATCAGTATTCTAGTGGGTTTTTTTTCACCACGCTGTGCTGACACTATCATATGACTCATACAACTCATAAAACCACACCGTGATGCCTCGAATTTCTCCTCCATCACCTGATCTGGTCTTTAGAGCAGCTCGTCCTAATAAATACAGACACGCAAGACAAGACAAATCATTGTGCCTCCACCCTCAGTTGTGTGTTTATGAGGAGAGAGGGGGGCAAAACAATAAAAGGAAAAATAAAAAGGTAGCTAAGTAACAAGCAGAAACCAAATGCCACAACCTTCTGACAAGGTTTGACCCCAGTCCAGATGGATCAGATTACTTCTGAACCCATAACTGAATCCAACGAACAATCAAATATTAATGGCTTTAAATGGTGAGAGATGCTGCATGAAAGCTAACCTGGAAAATGGATATGTCCCTAAAGGGTTAGCCTGACTATTTCAAATGTATGTTTATTTTCTAAACACCCATACTGCTATGATTTCATGCATGCTGATTAAAGAACAAGAAATAAATCAAGTCAAATCTAACGAAGCTGAGATTTTATTTCCCAATTTAAAGAGACGTTTAACTCCYAAACCCTCACACATTTATTTTTGAAAAGTCTGACAGTATTGAAAATGCTGCAGGAGTAATGACCCAAGCCGAGCAGTTTGAGCTTTAGCCCTTTTTTCTCCTAAGCGGCTCTTTGTAAAGTATTGAGTCTTGCAGCGGCACCATAAACACCAGGGCTGACCTTAATGAATACCCATGATTTTGTTCAGTCATGGTGGCGAATTGAGTGACACGACGCAAACGAGTCGAACAACCGCCAGTGGCATCTAAAAAATGCCGTCCAAAGTCTCTTTAAGATGCAAGTTACCATGGGGCTGTCAAGAGCAAATGACTGGGGAGGAAGGCGACATGACAGTACTGCACCCCCCTCTACTCAAACAAAACACACACCACAACCACAGAAAGTTACGGCCGTGGCGTCTCTCCTGATTTAAATTCCTCTGGCCACAGCTGTGGAAAAGTTCAGGGGAGACGGGGAGAGAGCTAGGAAAGCTTAGCAAATTGTGGGGGGGGATCAGAATGAGTTAGGGGGATGCATGGAAACTACCACGTCTACCAAGTTCTGACCACTTTTTTCCTAACTAAAAGATGGTTGAGGATAAAAGCATGAAGTTGGAGCAGYAATAAGCCAACAGTGGAAAAATATCGGGGATGTTCTCTATCCCGCTGATTGCACTAGGACTCATCTGTGGACTGCCGTGATCATGGTCAAAACAACTCACAGACATGCTGGTACTCTCACTTTTACRAACACAAAACTACTTTAGGTGGTCAGAAAACTGTTGTTTCGATCTATGGCTAGGTGGTACGTCTGAAAAATGTATCACAATATAAGCGTTTCATATCAATCTATCATTAATTATTATTAATTAGTTTCTGTTTTACCTTTGAAGGACCAGGAGAAAAAAAAGGCTGATTATTTCTGTAAAACTGGTAACGTTTCCTCTTTTATCCACAATTTCCTCTTGAGCTATTGCACTAACTTTCTCCCTTTTTTTTAAGCAGTTCTGAGGCACGGTCACATGAAACCACTACTGCGTATGTTACTCAACAGGTTGTTGCTAGCTTACCAAAAAGTAGAGTTGGGAAAAAATGGTATTAAATGCAATTAATTCTCATAAAAACTGACCAAAATTAATATTTGCCACTTTGCAATTACTGCAACTAGTACATGATGAAGTATTTTTTAATGACACAGACTCACTATCAAACGTGAACCCGTCAGATATTGTGTTACTAAAGCTCTGCTGCCACTCCACATTGTGGAAAATGGTAAATTTCAGTTCACAGTTAACTATATTTGTGAATGTGTGTGTGAATGGGTGACTGTAGTGTAAAATGCTTTGGGGTCCATGTGGACTTGATAAGGTGCTAAATGAGTTCAGTCCATTTTTTATGTATTTATTTTATTTATTTTCTGTTATTTAACCAGGCAAGTCCCGTTGAGATCTCAGATCTCTTTTTTCGAGGGAGGCCTGGGCCTGAAGGCAACCTATTGTACATTTTTTTAGGTTCAGTCCATTTACCATATTTACCTGCTTAAATGAAGGTTTGATTTACAGATTTATAAGCATCATTTTAGAGCACAGCATAACTGGTTTAGAGTCAAAAGCATTTAAGTGCAACTATCATCTACTAATCCTTATATTAATTGTTATCAGAGTAACAATTAGTTGTGATTATTTTTTGCCAATACCACTAAACCCTACCAAAGAGTGAGGGAGTTAGTTGATGGCACCAACCTTGCTTAGCTGAGCCAGGAGAGGTCCAACGGCTAAAGCTTGTCCTTTACCTACATCCCCCAGAATGCTGTGTGGTTCTGKATCYGAGTTCAGTGAAATGATCAAYGCTCTATTGGACAAATTTTACATTGATATTATGTGTCTATCASTACATATATTGTTGCTGAATTATTGCCCAGCCCTATTTTGATCCAAAGAACAGGGTAGAACTGGTCCAGAACTGRTGCCTACCTCCMCCGAGGGGRTACACYCTGGACAGGTTGCAAGTTCATCACAGGGACACAAACCAGACAAATATTCACACATATGGTTTCCAATTAACRTAGCAGATGGTCAAAGAGCCCCCCWGAAGTTACACTGTTGGTATATTATACTTCTTGGAAGATATAGAAGAAATCCAAACATCTAAACTGATTTTTTTCCCCCAAAAAAGATAAGACCTGTTACTGGCTGTGGTCTCATGATACAGATGTTTTCCTGTTTTCACACATTATCACAAACAGAACAATAAAACATCATCACAGAAAACATTTGTACGTTGTTCACATGGAATACGTTACTTGAAACACACACGCACCACCACCAACACCACAAAGACCACTCTAACAGGAGAGTCAGTTAGTTGTTACTAAACTACACAGTGAGTAATCTGATCTACGACCTGGTGTGTGATTAATTTCGTGTTAAAATGCACCTAAATTAGTGTGAAAAGCAGAAACCCGCCACCGGTTATAGTCTTTCAAAAAGAAAGCAAAAGGTCTGAGGTGTCTCGTCCCTTTGCTTTGCATCCAGAAGAGGAGGAGTGCAGGGTGGACCGCCACAAGACGGAGTTTACTACAAGTGGAAGAGGATGACAACAATCAGACGGGAGGAAGAAGGATGAGAGGCCTCTGGTTCAGAGGATGCCCTGGAGGTGAAGTCACGACGTGTAGCCTTCCTACCTGGCTGCTGCTGTCTTGGTGCTTTCATTGCAGAAGGCTTGGTCTTGATAGATTTACCACCACCAACACATGTCTGGGTCCCTGGTCTGAGGTTGGCCTGGAGAGAGGCCCGGTGCTGAGTCTGGCCCGCACCTCGAGGTAAAGACGAACCCTCGATGCGTTGCTTCATCTCAGACGACAGCAAGCGGCCCTTGTGCATCCACTCCTGCATCTTGTTGACGGTGACCCCGTGGGCTTTGCTGGCCGAGCCGACCGCCCGAGCTCGGACGTCGGTCTGCTCCCGCCTCGTCTCCTGACCCCGATGCGTCGGCGCCTCCGCGTTGCTGTCAGAGGAACCCGCGAGGCTGTTGACCGAGCCGCCGCTCCCATTGAGYGGCTCGGCTCGGTCCTCCTCGCCTCCGGCGTCTTGCAGCAGCTCGTCGCTGCTGACGCTGCTGAGCGCGTACGGTTCAGACAGCCCGTCCGCTTTCGTGACTTCAGCGTTTTTTGTCTCCAAAGCTCCTCTATCATCGCAGGCTTCCRTCTGAACAGAAGCCGAAGTTTTGCTTTGATACCTGATAGCTCCATCGCTAGCAGAGCGCAACAACGCAGGTCTTTTGGTCAAAGACAGGTCGCTCGTGCTCTTACTAGTCAGCCTTGACTTTGACTCGAGATTTCCTGCGAGGCAGAGGAGCAGCAACTCGGCGTCAGATCCATGTTGAGAACTCTGGTTGCCTCCTGAGGACCAGGAGTCGCTGTCGATATGTTTGACAGACGACCTGGAGCACAGGCTGTCCCTTGAGTGGCTACTACAGGAGGAGGAGGCTTGCTGCTCCGCTAAATCATCTCTAATCTGCTGGAAATCAAAGCTGATATCATTCATGGCATTGATAAGAAGGTAGTAAGCCTCCTGCAGCTGGTTTCTAAGGCGGTCTGTTTCCTGAGCGCTACTACCGTTAACCTGCCCTTTATYCTGATCAGACTCTCCAGTCTGCGCTCTATCAACCTCAGTTTTTGGTCTAGCTGCTTCGTAGAAGGGTAAAATTTCATTATCATAGTAGTCGTCATCTTCACTATCTAAGGGGTATCTGTGTGAGCCCTGTGTTGTGCAAAGAGGTATCCTTTTCAGATCACATATTTGTAACTCTGTGGGGAAGAAAGCCGGACTCTGTGGACTGCCTGATGTCTCCCTGGTGTTCCCTAAACAGTCAGGTTCGTAGCCATCAACATTTCTAATTACAACGCTCTCCTCTGTGCTCACTGCAGTGCAGYTGGGATAAACACGGTCAAAAGTCCACTTGGCCTCGTTTTCCTGTCCAGCCCCCACAGTTCCTGCCATGTRGGGCAATCCTCTGCCTCTGAGCTCTGCCCCCTCACCAACCCAGCTCACTGGCCCTGGCTGCGCCTCTACCTGCGCCCGGTGCAACACATGACAGGAGCTGTCCCCGAACCCGATGGAGTCCCCGACGCYGCGCTGCCCCGGCACCGAAACGAAGCGTTTGATCCGGACCTGCGGGCTACCCGCGGCGATTCCCTCCGTGACTCTGGACCCCCGGGGACCCCCCACCTCCTCCTCCTCCCCGAACGCATTTTGCGCATCTSCGAGACGCGAGGCGAGCGCCGCGTCCGCCGCGCAGCTCCCCGCTTCCACGCAGTTCTCGTACGTGCTCGTTCTCTCGGCCGTCAAATCCATCCCCGCGAGCCAAACCCCCCGCAGAGCCCGGCCGGGGTCTCGCTGCGTTTGCAAAACTTTTTCTTTACCTCCTCGGCTCCCGTTCGCCGCCGCCGCAGCAGCAGATCCGAATCCGCCGCCGAGCGTCGCTCCTTTTTTGGACCTCTTCCCCCGGAGTTTCGCTAGTAAAGTCATCCGCAGAGGATCAGCCATTCCTTTCCGTCCGTCCCCCACTCCAGCGCTCCCCCCCTCCTCTCCCCTCCAGCTGTAGTTTCTCTCGGTGACTTTCAGCACGTCGGCCCTGGAAGAGAAGGACCGAGAAGCTTCTCCTCGGTCAAAGCTCGCCGAGCGGACGGGCTCCTCTCCATTCTCCGCTGTCACCTCTCCTCTCTGCTGCTGCTCTACTGCACCGCCTCCCCGTGCCTCTTTCTCTGCTGCGCGCGCGCACACACACACACACCGAACACACACACACCGAACACACACACACTTTTCCCTTCTCTTCCCTCCTCTCTAGCGCCTCACCTCTCCTCCTGTTGGCAACTCAGATGTTTGAAAAACTTTCTTGATCCAGAGTCCACAGATTTGGACCACTGCGTAAAAATAAACAACAAACAAACAAACAAACAAACAAA